TGTGGGCTTCGCTGATGGAGAAGGAGTCAGTGACAATACTCCTATGTGGAATTCTGTTGAGCTTGGGACTTGGGTCCAGTGCTCTTGACAAGGATGAGGGTGGAGGTATTGCTGGCACCCAGTTAATAATCTCTTATCATAGTTAGAATTTGGAGCTTGGAGTCTCCTTGTTTTAAAAATCCAGGCTCAAGTTTGGACTGTGTAAGTAACTTAATGATGCTCAGTCCTAGTTTATAAAAGATGAACTGAGAACAGCACCCAGCCCCTGCAGGAACTCAGCCTTGCCTCATATTCTGCAGTGCTTTCAAACATACAGCCTTGTGCATGAGTGGGGAGGATCTGGGAGCCCATGATGGTTTTTGACTACAGAGATACTTATTTGGGGGGTAGCGGTTCTGCTGATAGCTGACAGGGAGGCTCAGCTTGTAGTGTGGAGCTGTCTCTAATCATAATTGCCTGTAATACTGATTGCCCAAACTCTGGAATTGTAACAATAGATTTTCCAAAGTTGGAGTATAATTGCTCCACCATGTCATATATGAGCACAGCTAAAGCAACTTTGATCTTTCAGTCAGACTTTTGTTACTCAGTTTCTTAAATAGCAAAGGTCAGAGGCATGACCATCTGCCACCACCACCACACATTTTTTTTTAAAAAATCATATTGAGGCCCACATTTGTTAAAGTGAATTGCCTATGAAAGATACAAGGGCTAAAACTGGGTGGAGTAGAAAAAGTACAGACTCTGTGGCATTCTGATCCTAGCTCTGCCATCTAGACGCTACAGAAAGTCTTTGTTCTCTTTGTGACTCAGTTTCCTCATCTGTTGACACCTCCCTGACTGACTCATTGTATTAGAAATGACTGGAAAGCACCTAAATGGTGCCTCAAGCTAATGGGTAGTCGATAAAACCATTTTGACATCAACATCATTGTCGTCACTTCTAGCGTCAATTCTTGGGGCTTGAGGTCTTCTGAGCTCTTCTGAGTCTTTGGAGTTTGTAGTTTTCATTTAGAGTTGGTGATCAAGGATATGGTATTTTTGCTAAATTAGGAATGGAACTTTGCAAGAAATTAATAGGAAAGGAAAAGAAATATGCCTCCTAAGAATGGAGCACTCCAGCTTGGCACCGTTCAGTCCTGAGCGAGTGCTGATGCTTGGGGGTTCAGCACTGAGTGTGTGTTTGAGTAAGACCCCCATCTTACGTCGAAGAGGCACATTTAGGAGTGTCTCTGGCAAATTGGAAATGTGTGGTTCTAGGACTATCTGTCCTTCCTCCTCCCCCAGCTGAAACTGCTGCTGTGTCTGCAAGTCACAAATGTGATTTACAGACAACCCAACAAGCTGCTTCTCAATGGCCAGTTCTAGTGGCCACAATCAACTAAGCAGCCTTAATTTTCTTGGGAGGGAAGGAAGGGACAATCACAGAGCCCTTGATCATCTCCGTGTCTGGGCTTGAGTGTCCCACCACCCCTGCATCTACAGGCCACCCCCAGACTGACGCTGTCTTGGTGAGCTGGCTCATGCAGGAGCCGCTGGAATGATCAATGAGGCCGCGCAGCCGGGTCCTCCACAGCTGCCGGTGAATCACACGCCCCTGCCTTGCCTGTTTCATCTCCACCAAGCAGGAAGCACTTGAGCTAAGCCCAGCCAGGCTGACTCGCGTCTGGCTAATGGCTTTTCTGTGTCAGTCATCGACCTTGGTCCCTTACATCTTTCATATGTGAGTGGCTGGTGCCCCTGAGGACAGTCTATTGGTAGACTTAGCTCTTCTGCAAAGCCCTGCAGATGCCCCTGACAGGAGCTGGGGTTGGGGTGCCTACTTCTGACACAGCTAGCACTTTTTAAAAACATTGAAGCGAAACTCACATACTGTAAAATTAACCTTTTTATTTTTTTGCAGTACTGGGGATCAAGCCCAGGTCTTGTGCATTAAGGCAAGCACAGAGCTATGCCCTCAGTCTCAAATTAACCATTTTAAAGGAATATTTCAGTGGCTTCCAGTGCTATGCAACTGCCACTTGTCTCCAAAACACTTTTTCTCCCAAAAGAAACCTTGTATCTCTCGTACTGGTTTTCTAGGGAATCACAGAAATCTGTTGTCTCTGCATCTTGGAGGCCAGAAATCTGAAAGGTGTCGGCAGGATTGGGTTTTTATTGTGGTTGTTGGTGCTTTTTTTTTTTTTTTTTTTTGTGGTGATGGGGTTTGAACTCAGGGTCTATACCATGAGCCACTCCACCAGCCCTTTTTTGGTGAAGGGTATTTTCAGGATAGGGTCTCTCAAACTATCACAGAAATCTGTTGTCTCTGCATCTTGGAGGCCAGAAATCTGAAAGGTGTCGGCAGGATTGGGTTTTTATTGTGGTTGTTGGTGCTTTTTTTTTTTTTTTTTTTTTTGTGGTGATGGGGTTTGAACTCAGGGTCTATACCATGAGCCACTCCACCAGCCCTTTTTTGGTGAAGGGTATTTTCAGGATAGGGTCTCTCAAACTATTTGCCAGAGCTGGCTTCGAACTGTGATCCTCCTGATCTCTGCCTCCTGAATAGCTAGGATTACAGGCGTGAGCCACTGGTGCCCCACCAGGCCTCAGTTTTTGACTCATCTTCTCTTCACATCTTGCTCTATGCCTGTCTGTGACTTATGTCCAGATTTCTCTCTCTCTCTCTTTTTTTTGTAAGGACACTAGTCATATTGGACTAGGGCCCATCCTAATGACTTCATTTTCAGTTGATTACCTCTGTAAAGGCCCTGTTTTCAAATAAGGTCATATTCTAAGGTACTAGGCAGCAGAACTCTACCATATGGACTTTGGGGGGGGGACACACTTTTGGGCCCATAACACACATTAAGCAATTTCACTATTAGTACTTCATTCCTTTTTGTGACTGAATAATATTCCACTGCCTATAATCATTTAGTTTTTGAACACCAAGTGTAAAGCACCTGCCCGTGAGAGGTCTACCTGCTGAGCATCTGGACACCCTGCTCTGCTTGTGTAAGGTGGGCCATTGGCCTCACAGATGTAGCTTACAAGTCTCCCATCTGTGAACTTGTTCTTGTTTGGGTTTTTTTTTTTTTTTTTTAATTAGTTTTTTTTTTTTTTTGACATTACTGGGGTTTGAACTCAGGGCCTCGTGCTGGTAGGCAGGGCTGTATCACTTGAGCCACTCTGCCAGGCCTGTAGACTTGTTCTTTCTGTCGTTCTTCTTGTAAGTGTTTGTGAGCAAATTTGAAAGCAGTATTGGACTAAGGGGAAACCAGGGCTAGCTTCAGAGCCTAGAATTCATTTTTAAAATGGATTTCTGTTTTCGAGCTGCTTCTCTTCTTTCTCTGCGCTTATCCTCAGCACTTGCTCCTCCCCTGGAGTGCACAAACACTCACGTTAATAGCATTTTAAACAGACCACCGTGGGGGCGTGGCCTGTGGGGGCGTGGCCTAGGTCGGAAGCACAGCCCTTTGAGAAGACCCAACCAGCAGTAGCCTGCTCCAGTTGCCATGGTTACTGTGCCTGGTCCCTGGGGCTGGCCACAGACTAGATCCTGTCAGAGCTTCTTCACATGCCCCGCTCTGCACCTGCCTCAGCATGAGAGAGGGACCTTCGGACGGACGCATGTCCTCTGACTCTGCCACTCACCTGGACATTTCTCCTGCCCCCTGAAGTGAAAATATATTTCGCACAGACAGGGAACCTGCATCCCTGCTGGCCAGGGCCCCTTTGGAAAGCACTCAATAGCTTGCTGCAGACTAAGGCCCTGCCCTGCGCCGCTCCCCCTGGGCCTTAGTGGTAGTGGCATCTTGTCTGTTAGTACACATGGAATCTTCAGGGATGACCACAGCAGGATCACATAGCCCTGACTTCTCACCTGGAACAGACTCCTCCCTCTTGTGAAAGTTGTTTTAGTCCCTCTTATTTCTTCCCTCTGTCCCCCCTCCTCCCCCCTCCCCACGCCACTTGCTTGTCCCCATCAAATTAATCTTGCCACTTTGAAAGTCCACTGGGGAAAGAAATACCTACTGCTCCCACGGTTTTCAGAGAAGCAGGAAGGAGAGTGGAACAGATCAAAAGTGAAGACAGGACAAACATGTCCCTGTTGTATTGGCTCTGTCTTGTCATTTTCGGGTAAGGCTGGTGACTTTTGAGACTCTAGCTGGGATATTCCACACTGACAGTGCATTGGTCCTCAGTGTGGCTTAGGCTTCTTGAACTCAGGTTCTTTTTTTTTTTTTTTTTTTTTTTGGTGGCACTGGAGTTTGAACTCAGGACTCACACTTACTAGGCAAGTGATCTTACCACTTGAGCCACTCCACTAGCTCTGGAACTCAAGTTCTTAGCCTTGGCTCCACTCATGGTGGGGCCTGGACATTTGGAGCTTTTAAAACCTTCCAGATGGGCTGGGGTTGTGGATGAGCAAGTGCAGAGCCCTGAGTTCAATCCCCATTACTTCCTGTATATATATACAGCTTCCAGGTCATTCTGATGTCTTAGCCACCTGTGAGAACTGCTATTCAAGGGGAGGAGGCCTCTGGGGGAGTTGAACACTTTGAAAAGGAGGACACAAGAGGCAGGTGACACCTAATCTTCTGGACCTAGCAATACCACTAATAAGGTAGAAAGGAGGGAAAGAAATAACACAACTTTGGCCAAACAAATAGTAGCTTCATTAAACTTCATAGGGCCAGCATGGAAAGCAAACTCCCATCCACCCCTTCTCTGCTGCTGCCTATGGGCTGGTGGTCCATGGAACGTTAAAGACTGCCAGAGCGCTAGGAAGCATTTGCCGAGGTGTCCAGAATGCTCACGGGACAAAGCTGTTTGTGCAGTCTGCTCACAGCTAGTTCTTCTCACTCCCAAGGACAGTTGCATTAGGTTCAGGGACTGTTTTCCATTTTCGGCAGAAGGTGCTAATGTGATTAGTGGCTCCGTGCACGGTGGTTGGAGGGGGTGGTCAGAGGCAACCTGGGGCTGACCTCTCCTCTCTGTCTCTGTGTGCTTTGTAGTACAAAATCGGACAGCTGTACATGATCAGCAAGCACAGCCATGAGCAGAGCGACCGGGGAGAAGGGGTGGAGGTCGTCCAGAATGAGCCCTTTGAGGACCCTCACCATGGCAATGGGCAGTTCACCGAGAAGCGGGTGTATCTTAACAGGTAAGTTGTGGCAGCTGGATATGCACCCTAGAACCCCTCCCACCTGACTCCATAGCACCATTTCAGGTAAGGCCGTGGGTGCCTAGGGGAAAAAAAGGTCTTTGGAAAGTCATTAGATCCAGGACCCCTCCTCCATGCTGCAAAATAGACATCTGTTGCATCTTCATTAGGAGAGCTCAGGCCACACCTTCCCCTGCCCCTTCCATGACATAAGATGACATCCAGTCTTAGTTGAATGACTTTGTTTTGCTCCTGGTTCAGCTGTAGGGAGATGACTGTGCCCACTAATGGCGGGGAAGGGCTGGAGGTGGTGGTGTGTCTTTGAGTCTTGACTTAGTAGAATTTCCATTTATTGTCAAGTGACCACTCAGGTGTCCACCAAGGGAAATGATGAAATGAATAGAAACTTGTGACCAGAGTGATAGTCAATGGCTAAGGTAGCTTCCATGCTTTCCTTTAGGAAGTGTTATAAACCAGCACTGAGCAAGGCTATCTTTGTCGTTTTACAAAATATATTCTTTGATCTCTCTTTTTCTTATTGCTAATGACACAATTGACAATGGGGACTTGTCTGATTTTCTCCCTACCCTGCACCCCCAACCAGCCCATCTTCTTCTGTTCATCTCTGTTCTGCTCAGCTATCTGTGGTGAGATGACATGTGAAATAGACTCCATAGAAATTAACTGTCTGTACTCCCACCTGTGACCCCTCCAATTGACCCACTTGATTATTCAGAAGGGTTTCCAACCTACTAGCTGGATAGTGTCCCCAGTTTATTCACTGATACCTGTGAATGCTCATCTATCCTCTATGCCTTGGACATGGCCAGCCATTTCTGAGAGGAGCATATTTGGTTCCACCTTTGTCACTAGCTTCACTCTGCAGCATGCTGAACTAGGCCATCTCGTCCATGTCAGAGACTTTGGATCCTTTGGTGGATGGAAGTCTTCTGGCTCAATATCCTGGCAGTGAAGGCCTTGGCCTCATAAAACCAGTGAGTTTTCATCTGCCCAGGGATGCAGTACCTGGAAATGATGACATGCAAATGAGATCGATCCCATTCATCTATTAGAAACTGAATTTTCAGGATTCGGAACCAGGTCAGCCTCCAGCCAACTGTTGATCTGCAGGAGTCTCTAAGCCCCTGATCTGGCCTGGGGATGGCTTCCATACAGAGACCATTTTCTCAGTGTGCTGCCTTGACATTCTTAGCATGGAGGCTGTGAGGCAAACGTCCAGCAGGTTTCCCCTCAGGAATCACCTCTGAAGAGCAAGGAGAAGTGAGGGAGGTGCAGAAAAATAGAAACTGTGGAAAATTCCAGATCTTGGCATCTGATTACATTCTCTTAAATTATTGCCTGGGGAATGCTTCCCTACACACCAAAATCAAGAAAAATGTTAGAAACTTTATACCTTTTGCTGAAACAGAGTGAGAAATGTCCAGCTGTCCCTGTCATGTCTGTTTTCTCTATCAAAATATACAATATTTATTTTAAAGGAGAGTCATAAACATTAGTAAGAGGGAAATTTGTTATAAATAAAATATGTGGGCTTCCAGTATTAGTAACTAAAAAGATTAATGGTGACCCTCCCCCACTTCCTATGACAAACTCAGGGTGAAATATAACATAAAGCTAAGCTCAAAACAAAGAAAAGGAGATCTTCAAGGGCTAGAGCGAGAGGAGACCACAGCAGGAAGCAGACCTGCGAGTGCTAAGGAAGCCAGGGGAGTTCAGAACCCAGTGTGGCCTTGACCTCTAGAGGGGTGTTATGCTCCTGAGGAAAAATAGCCTCAAGTCCACACAAATCGGGAGTTGAAAATGAGAATCAGTCATAAAAAAATGTGTTTTGACAATCAGGGCCGAGAGACTCTCGTGGAAAGAACAACTAAAGAGTGTACTTTAAGAGAGGAAACTGAGCCAGGAAAGAGAGGAGTGTCTAGAAGTAACCTCTGGGCAAATCTGAATGAGCATGGAGTGTTTTTAAAACACTAGTAATGCCTAACTTTGGATGTATTTGTAAAATACATTTTTGTAGTTTGAAAAATGCTCTAAAGTGCTAATATTACTTAGGAATTAGAGAGAGATGTTGATTGCTGTAGACTTGGAAAAGGCAAGTTTGCATATTCAAGATGTAAAGGCAACCTCTGAAAGAAGAGTAAAACAATAAATAACTTCCAAGAGAAAACAGGACCCATCCAAAGAAGGCAGAGGGATAAAAATAGAAGCTGACTGGAGGAGGATGTAGTTCAGTAATATAGTGTCTACCTCACATGTACAAGGCCCTGAGTTGAATCCCCAGCACCATTTCATTAAAAAAAAATACGGTAAATGGAAAATACAGATTTTTTTTTTTGGCTCTGGTGTTTGAACTCAGATCTTCATGCTTGTTAGGCAGGTGCTCTACTGCTTGAGCCACTCCACCAGCCCTGAAACAAATTTTGATGGCAAAATAAACTGAAATGTGAAATACTGCCTTTCCTACTTACCCATGCAGCCAGGGATAACCATGTGACCTGTTTCTGACCAACGCAACCTAGATTTTCCTCCCTGGTAGAAAGAGAAAGATGTTTGAAGGGCTCTTTCCTGTTCAAGAGGGGCATGATCTGCTTCTAAGAAAGGGAAAGAAGCCCTGGAATTCTTACAACATTATTTCTCTCTCATTCAATGTCAAGACCAGAAAACATTCTTTTAACAGTTAGAGAGACTCAGTTGCTTAAATGATTTCATGTCAGTGTTTTTGTTGGTGGCAGTGGTGTGTTTTTTTTTTTTTTTTTTTTTTTTTATGATAAAATGTCCTTTAAGAAGAGAGAAAAGGAAGAAGGAAGGAGAGGAAATGGAGTGTGACTGCTGGAAGACACTAATAGTGACAACCATATGAATCTTGATAACAGAATTAAGCAATTCTGTTATAAAAGGGGGTTGGTGATGTAGATCAAGATAGAGCACTTGCCTAACATTTACAAGGCCCTGGGTTTGATCCCCAGCACCCACAAGAAAAAAAAAGGAAAGTATTAGATAAATTTCAGCTAAGTACATGAATGTGAAAATTTTAACATTTGCAAATCAAATACCTCAGAGAATAAGAAGTCATGACCAATTGGATTTATTCTTGAAATTCATTAAATCAACATTAAATAAATCTTTCTGTGTACTTGTCCACAGTAAAGTTAGGAACAAAATAAGGATCCTTGTTGTTTCCATTTCTGTCTAACATGTGTAAAGATCCTAATCAGTGCAGTAAACAAAGAAAGGGAGAGTGGAATGTAGCTCAGTGGCAGAGTGTTTGCCTAGCATGCATAAGGACCTGGGTCTGATGCCCCAGCACCACACATATGCTTGCACGCACACACACACACACACACACACACACGTGATAAAGAGGAAAGAAACACAATTATCTGTTGCAAATAGGATCGACTAGTAGAAACTTCAGACATTCTAGATAGCTGTTAATATCAATATATGAATTCAACAAGAGCACCTGCCTAGCAAGCATGAGGTCCTGAGTTCAAAGCTGATGGGATTCTTCCCCCAAAAAGAATTCAACAAGATTGCTGGGTATAAATTCATACACAAAAGCCAACATCATTATTAAATGTCAGGCAGTATAATTGAAAAAATATAATTTTTAAAAGTTCCATTTACAATAGAAAAAGAAACTTAAAGTTACTTGGCAATGACTCTACAAGATATGCAGAATCATTTGTGGAGGACACTTTAAAAGCCCAAGACAAGTGGTAAGATATACCATATTCATGGATTGAAAATGGTATATTAAAATTGGCTTCAATTCTCAAGTTAATCTATAAATTTAATGCAAGTCTAATTAAAATGCTAATGGTGTTTGGGTTTTTTAAAAATAGAACTGGAGAAGATACCTGTAAAATTCATATGAACAATTTTGAGAAGTTAAACAAGTAGGAGGGACTTGCCCTACCAGAATAAAGCTATTTTACTATAGTTATAGTGATTAAGGCAGTGCAAAATTAAATGAACACATGGAACGAAATAGCCCCCAAATAGATCCAAGCCAGTAATAGCATTTGGTCATAAAAAATTGTCAAGGAAAAGATGAGCTACTTCATATGTAATGCTGTGACAATTGGATTTTCAATTAGAAAAACAACTTGACCCCTATTTCATATCATACACAAAAATAAATTACAGATTAATTAAATATCTAAATGTGAAAAAATTAGAAGAAATTTCAAGTAAATATCCTTGAATATCCTGGGATAGGACTAGTAAGACGTAAAGAAATGGACCGACAATATTGATATCTTAAAATTAAGAGACTGTTCTTAGCAAAAATATACACATGTAAAATAAAAAGTAAACTTTTGTATAGCAAAAGACATGAAAATTAAAAAAACTGTCCCTACCTGGAAGAAAACATTTGCAATGTTCACATAGACCTAAGAGTGGTATTTAAATTAAACAAGCATAAAACTCTTACAAATAATTTTAAAAATTTTAATTTTAGTTTTTTCAATTATTTCTTATCTTTTTAAAGACTATATGGATGTTTATTATAATAAAGCTTCAACTTCTTTTTTTATTGTTGTGCTGGAGGTACATTGTAGCATTTACAAAAGTTCTTACAATATATCAAATATATCATTCTTGAATTCACCCCCTCCATCATTCTCCTTTATCTCCCCCGTCTCCTTTAATTTGAATTTTAAAAAAGACAAAATAACCCAGCTGTAATATGGGAAAGGGATTGAAAACACAATTCAGAGAAGAGATCAATATGTACATGAAAATGCTTACCCTATCAGAAGGTGAGAAAACTGAAAAAAATGTAGCATCTCCGCTCACACACATCAGATTGGTAAAACTCAAAATCTGATAGTACTAGGAGTTATCTAGTGAGCAAACAACTTGCTTCCATTCTGATGAGAGATGTAAACTGAGATCACCTCTTTAGAGAACAATTGCCAAAAAAGAAGAAAGCTGAAACTGTATTCCTTCCATTCACCAAGTCTATTTCTAGA